ATACTTTATGAATACCCCAAAGCATATTTTTAACAATAGCTAGTACACTTTGCAGGAGCTGCGGTGGCTCAAGTGGTTAAGATGCTGAACTGCAGGCTGTGGAAGGTCAGCAGTTCAGCAGTTCGAGAACCGGGTGCCGTATGACGGAGTGAGCTCCCATCTCTAGTTCCAGTTCCTGCCAACCTAGCAGTTCGAAAGCAAGAAATTGCAAGTAGATAAATAGGTAACAGCGTTCCGTGCGCCTTGGTGTTTAGTCATGCCGGCCACATGACCACGGAAACGTCTTCAGACAGCGCTGGCTCTTCGGCTTTGAAACGGAGATGAGCACCGCAACCCTAGAGTCGGATTCGACTGGCTTTCAAGCAAGGGAACCTTTACCTTTTACCTAGTATACTTTGCATACCCTTTTGTGGCTAGCCAGTTATTTTGCAACTAAATCTGGGTCACACGGGGACAAAATACTTCCATGTATTATAAAAGAAAATAAAGAAGGTTAAGAGCTGAGTGAGGTAATCACTGGCAGGTTCTCTCTGCACTTTGCATATTCTAATTGTCATTTGTCTTCTCTTCCATCTACCTTTATGGTAAAACAAAATAATGCAGCAACACATCTTTGTCTAGTGAGAACCAGTTTGGTGTAGTAGTTAGGAGCGCAGACTCTAATCTGGGAAAACCAGGTTTGATTCCCTGCTCCTCCACATGCAGCTGCTGATGTGATTTTGGGTCAGTTACAAGTTCCTTCAGAGCTGTTCTCAAAAGCGCTCTCTAAACCCACCTACCTCACAGGGTGTCTGTGATTGGGAGAGGAAGGGAAAGGAGATTGTAAGCCGCTCTGAGACTCTTCTTCTTCTAAACACTGTATGCTGTGTACAATTAAAACGGGAAACCTTCCAAGCTTCTGGAGTGTTTTTAATCCATGAAAGTATGATTAAGGCTTTTCCATAATAAAACAAACTTGGTTTCAGTTACAAAGCCCTAGAGGGCAAAACAAACAAGACATAGAAGCCAAGGCCTTCCCCTGATTCTGACTTCTAGCACTGGTAGGTTTCCTGACTCTGGATTTGGTATTTATTTATTATTAAATTTCTAGCCCTCCCTCCCCGCAAGTGGGCTCAGGGCGGCTCACAAATAGGGCACATATCCCAATACATAAAAACAAAATTAAAAACAAGATAAAACAATCATTTACGATATTACAAAGTGCTCTGGATGTTTCAAAATCAGTCTTCAGTAAGAGGGTGGTTCAGTGGTATCAGCTCCATGCCACGCTGTGGTTCGCTCATCACAGGGCCATCTCCACACCCCGCTGTTGCCCCAACCAGTTGTTGTTGTTGGTGATAGTAGTGGTAATGATGGTAGTGGCGGCTTCTCCTCGAAAGCCTGGCAGAAGAGCTCCATCTTGCAGGCCCTGCGGAACTGTGCAAGGTCTCACAGAGCCTGTATCTCCTCTGGGAGCTCATTCCACCAGGTAGGAGCCGCCACTGAAAAGGCCCTGGCCCTGGTTGCAGCAAGCCTGGTCTCCTTGGGGCCTGGGGTCACCAGCAGATGTTGCGTCCCCGACCGTAGTGCCCTTTGGGGTACATATGGGGAAAGGCGGTTCTTTAGGTATGTCGGACCCCGGTCCCTTTAGTTCCCTTTAGTCACCATGACTAGCAGCTACCAATGGACCTATGTAAAGTCACCCAGCAAGCTTCCATGGCAGAATGGGGATTTGAATCTGGGCTTCCCATGTTCTAGTCTGACACTTTAACCACTACACCACACTGGTTGCCAACTATGGGCTGAGCCACTCCTTGAGATTTGGGGTTGGAGTGTGGGGAGGGTGAGGTTTGAAGAAGACTCTCAGCCAGGTATAACATCATAGAGGTCATGCTCCAAAGCCGCCATTTTCTCCAGGGAAATTGATCTCTGTAGTCTGGAGATCCATTGTAATTCTGGAAGATCTCCAGGCCCCACTTGGAGACTGGCAACCCTAAAGGAAGAGGAACAGGGTGTTTGTTTGTTTTTTACTATAACTGGAGCCCATCCCATTACATTAAAGAGAGCCAGTGTAGTGTAGTGGGGTTCAGAGTGTTGGACTAGTATCTGGAAAACTCAGGTTCAAATCCCCACTTGTGCCATGGAAGCTTGCTGGGTGACCTTGAGCCAGTTGCACTTGCTCAGCCTCATCCACCTCACAGGGTTGTTGTGAGGACAAAAAAAGGAGGAGAATAATGTAAAGCTGCTTTGGTTCCCTGTTGGGGAGAAAGGCAGGGTAGAAATGAAATAAATAAAATTAATATGATTTTGTTCTTTCAAATACCATCAAATGTATTCAACAATCCTATAGCAAAAACAAGTAAATTCATTTGAAAAGGCTTTCTACTTATGAAGAAAAAATCTGACTGTATAATACTGTGTTTTGAAGGACAAGACAAAGAGAACTCAGCAAACGTGTCACTAAAAAGCTAAGTGGTTTCTAATTCAACAACTCATTTTAACACTTTGGAATGCAACTCACATTTTGGTTTGACACTTTAGAAAAATAAATCAGGTTAAACCATGAGTTTTTAGATCAGACAGTCCTCAAATTTAAGAGTAACCAGATGCCTGGCTTTTGTCTAGAATGCAAAATCTAACAAATCTCTGTTTGTTCAGATTTATCTTTTGTACCAAGGTTCCCTCTCTTAGGAAACTTTATGGAAGTCATGGGTTCAGATGCTTTTGCTCATTTTAGCACAGCCATCCCTAGCATATCTGGATAAAAGAGCAAAGCTAAGTCGTATAGTGCCTCAGATGGCAAGGAGGCTCACACAGTATTCTTGGCAAGCTATGTCAACTGAGTACTAGAGAAGAAAAAATGAAACCTTAAATGCAGTGACATTCTAAACATACCAGATATAGACTTCTCCTCTTCAGAACTTTAACTGCAAATGGGAAGGCAGTGTTTATTTGAACCTGACCAGATACTTCTGTCAAAATTAGACACACGAGATACCCAAGATAAATGTAAATCCATGCAAAGCAAAACAGCTTCGCAAAACATATTCTGCTTGCTTAACAAACACCAGTTGGTTTCCAAATGTACCCGCTTCTTCCCAGATGTCTTCAGATATGCATTCATATATACTTTGAAGCTAATGCACCTTAATCCCTTGCTGACCTTCGCCCTGATATACCTGCAACATATCAATGACTGATCCAAATGTGTGATCCAACATTAAATTGTTCCAGTATTTGTTATGGAAACCAACGGAAAAAAACGCCTCATGGACTGTTGTGCAACACATTGCTCAATCAAATGAACAAGGCCAGCTGCTGGTACTGGCATTTGTTTCCAAGGCAAAGGGAGGGGGAACGCTTCATTTGACTTAAGATACAGTAAAAATCTAGCCAGGAAGCTTTGCTTAAAACAAGTTCACATACTATGAAGACTAAACAGCATTAGCATTTCAGCCAGCTAGGAAAGCTATTTTACTTAGGCAGTTCTAATTCTTTTTAAAGATAAAGTGCTTGAAATCATGCCAGAGTATAATTACAGTAGGGACTGCAAGGTATTTCCCTTTATTGCCCTGTTTTGGTATGTTTGAGGAGCTGCGGTGGCTCAGGTGGTTAAGCTGCTGAACTGCAGGCTGTGGAAGGTCGGTAGTTCAGCAGTTTGAGACCCGAGTGTGCCGCATGATGGAGTGAGCGCCCGTCTCTAGTTCCAGCTCCTGCCAACCTAGGAGTTTCAGAGCAGCTTACAAACTCCTTTCCCTTCCCCTCCCCACAACAGACACCCTGTGAAGGGGGTGGGGCTGAGAGAACTCAAGAACAGCTGTGCTAGAGCTTGTGACTTACCCAAGGTCACATCAGCAGGTGCAAGTGGAGGAATGGGGAATCAAACCTTGTTCTCCCAGATTAGAGTCTGCACACTTAAGCACTACACCAAACTGGTTCTCAAGATTTGGAAACATGTCCATTCACCCCACAAATTAAAACACATTTTAATAGTCAAAACTTTTCCTCATTGGACTTAAACTGTGGTATACTGGTTTGTTGGATTAAGATCTGGGGGAACCTACTTCAACTCCCACCTTCCATGGCAGTCTGCTGGGAGAACTGGGCCAGTCAATAACCTTAACCTATCCCACAGGGTTTTTGTGAGGCTAAAATGGAAGGCAGGAGTTAATGTTAGAAGCTGCCCTTGAAATAGAGAACTGGTATGTCTGCTTGTTCCCTACTGTAAAAACAGGAAGACTTAACCAGGTCTACCCAACAAATCCATAACTGGCTATGTTTGAACCTAGGTCTCCTGGGGAAAAGGCCAATTCAACCAGCACCAGCATATTTTCTTATAAGATCATAATGTAGTACAAGGGTTATTTTTAAAGTGGGAAGCTACAATACTCTTTAAACTTTGGGACAATCTCATATGCCAAATTTCTATAAATTTGAAAACTTGTTTGTATACATTTTATTAGGAAGTGTTCAAGGCTGCTCGGTATCACACAAGAAGCAGAACAAACTGTATTGTTCATACCATATTCGAGTGAATGCTCACCCTTTACCACAGACCTTTCAGAGATCAATATACCCCTTATATACCATCTAAGTCATTACAAGAGTTAACTATGTTGATTTCCATGGCAAACAACAACTGCTATGGACTGCGGAATTCAGAATCCTGAAAATCTCAGTTTGTATCGTTAAAAATGTCTACTCCTTATGGCTGCAAATACAGGCTACTGGGCAGTGTGCTGGGCAACATTTTGCAGGGTACAGAGAGAACAGAAATAGCACACACAGTGGAATTTCAGGCAGCTGGGCTTTATTGACAAGCATTGCTCTTTGCATCTCCCCATGACTGATGCAGACAGATTTGCAGAATTCAACTGGTCTTCATCCAGAAGGTAAATTAACTTATCAAAATTAGCTTAATTTTTTTTAAGCACAGAATATACTCATCCCTTGTTAGGGTAAGGATATGATCACTAGGTTTTCAAAAGAATTAGAAATATACATATCAAATAAATGCTGCAGTCCAGTTCAGTACAACTTTATTTAAAGAGGGAAAGAAATTACAGTGCAATGATTCCATGCAACATATATATGTTTTTTAAATAAACATAACTAGAAGGAATGTGATCTGTACTACTACAATAATTACAAAGCACTTCGGGGCTTTAGAAAACAGATTTTCAGTGTAAAGAACTATTTCCAATCAGTCTTCCAAAATACTGCATGCCTCCTTAAAAGAGCACAGGAATGTTACTTGAAAGGCATAAAGGATCCAATCCCATTAAATTTACTAAGCAGAACACAATCAACTTCACATAATTTATGAAGGATTTATATGGAGCAACTCAAGCTGCTTATTCAAAACACAAAAAAAATGGACTGGTAAACATTTGTGTAATTAACTTCTAGTTAACCATCATTTTTACCTGGAGTGTACAACTTATTTAAAAGAGGGAAGATTTGGCACTTTTATACTGATGTCACCAATATTAATATTTCTTGGGATCTCTGGAAGATTCATATTCTTTACAGCTGACACAGCCCGGGCTGGGGCTCCTGCTAAACCAGCCTGTATACAGAAGAAAAAGATACTGCTAAGATGACATCCATTACAGTTACAATTAAATACCACTACAGTGACACCCATTCCAAAAAGTCATTTACACCACTAAGGATTATAAAAAACAGATGGTATTTGAGTTGAAATGGAATGGATTACTTCAAGTATCAAAGACAGAGGGAAAAAGTTTACACACATTCTAAGATATGGTTACAGCATGCAATGGCAACAATGAAAACTATACAGAAAAATTAAGTAATATGTAGTCTGTAAAACAACCAGATTGAGGTTAAAGTTAGGGTTCGTGCTGTCTTTGACTTTTACTGTTTCCAGGTAGTGCAGCATACCTAACCCGAGCCAGTCATCTGACACCTGGTAAACATTCCCAACACTCACTCGGTTTTAATTTGTAACAACCCAAAGACAAAATGTTTATTTTTCGTAAGGCCTTAGCTTTAATTGTTAGTTTTCGATTAAGTGGTATCCCATACAAAAATAAAAAGAACCTTAAACACTGATTTTAAATCTTCTGAGTAGCTTGTTATGTTAGATGCCAAGCAGTAGGGAAGGAAGCATGTCCTCTAGATCTTTATCCCATGCCACCCCCACCTAAAAGGCTCAGCTGATGTTCCAAAAGTGAAATTCAACAAACTGGAAAGCTCCAAGCTTGTAAACTCAATAGATGTGTGGAATGGACTGCATCTGAGCATGCAAAAAGGACAAAAGGAATAGACTAAACGTTAATTTTGGCAATTTAGATGTTAAGTGAAACATGACCTCTAGTTCTTTCCCTTCCTCTCAAACCTCTTTCCATCCTTTTGATTTACAGAAAGGCTCCTGAGCCAAAGCTTCATAGGACAGCTGTTCATCTATCTTATGTTTATATTAAACAATGTTTTCAAAATGATTCTCCTCACAGTATACAAAAAAATTCCAATGCAACTTCTTTTAAACAAATATTTCCAGGACCAAGTATGGGCCACCCACCTCTTGAAAGCCAATGACTGCAAAATACCTGGTGTTTGGTACACAGGCTTGGACAATTTCAGCATTAAAATGAGTTGCTAGCCCTCATGTTTAGAGAAAGACATTTAGCTATTTTCAAATGATGAAACACACGCCCTTGAATAATTTCCAAAGATAAATGTAAAATAAGTTCTGCCTGTTTACTAGTTGTAGCTGGTCTTCAAGATTTGGAAAACATGCTAATTAAATTAAGTCACAAGTTTCTAAAAACAAAGCTTCAGTTCTTTAGGAACATTTGAATGCTAAACAAACAAAACATTCTGGTTTAAGTGATATGTTTTTATGGAAATGTTGTCCCTGTGGAAATGGCATAGTTAGTTTCTGTGAAAAACATACATTATAGCATGTCAAAAAAACTAGTTATATAACCTAGCTAACTGACCATGCTGTACCTAACTGCATTTTTTTTAGTCCAGTGGCACCTTTAAAGACCAACAGAGTTTTATTCACAAAACTCATACCTTGAATAAAACTGGTCTCAAACTTTGTTCTACTGCTTCAGACCAACACGGCTACCCACCTAGATCTAACTGCATTTTGACATTTAAAATCTGTAATCTAGGAAGATGGTGAGAGCAAACCAAGGTTTATGCAGGATTGCTGGCTGCTTCGAAGAAAATTGCTGAGTGCACCAAGTAAATGCAGTCACCGATATCAGTTCAATATCACAACAGTAGGAAAATAAAATTTTCTAATTTAAGTGCTATTCTACATTGAAGTTAACTATTTGCCTGGGATAAGTAACAATTTCTTCTGGTAGCATACAAGCCAGACTCACCATTGAAACAACTGTCACACATAGGTACACAAACAGGCCAATACAATTCTTATACCTGGCTTAATACTTTGCTTTGCAGGACAGTCCACTGTACATAATTAGCATTCTTCTGATATAGTAGCATTAGTCATGACTACCTACAATAACAGACTGCTAGTATAACTTCTATATTCTTTTAAATAATATTGCTCACCAGCATAAGCCCCAGAACCAATTTCTCCTAACCTGCAATAATTTCCTGTGTCTAATTATCATAAATTTCCTCCACCGTGGCCCATGTGGAGAAGATTGCTGTAGTCACCGCTGACCAAGGGGAGTGCGCAGTGATGGACCCCAGCAGGGGCAGTCCTTGTACCTCTTATGCCTTAGTAATGCATTGTTAGATCCAATAGGCCACGGTGGCCTTTGAGGCCTTCTTCCTCTGGTTCTGGGTGCAGTAGGACGTGAACAGTGAGTCCGTTTTTCTGAAGGATGCTGTCCTGTTGATGCCTATATGGAGGGTTAGGATTAGCTTTACATCCAGGTTGTGCCAAATCTTTTCCTTCGGATGTTTCAGATTTTGACAAAATGAAGGTAAAATGAATGGTTGATTGTGGTGAAAAAGGGAGTTCACCTCTGGAGTAAAGGAGGGGTCTGTCCTCATGGTCACTGACTCCTTTTGGAATATGCAGAGCTCTTTCCTAGTGAATACTGCTGCTAATTTGGAGATTCTCTGAGCTGAGGTCACAGCCACAAGGAAGACCACCTTCCATGACAGATAGCACAGCTCTGTTGTCTTTAGGGGTTCGAATGGTGGTGCGGTGAGCGCGCATAGTACCTTGGAAAGACTCCACATGAGAAACCTGTGTCGGACTAGTGGGGCCAATTGTTTGGTTCCCAAGATGAACCTCTTCACATACTTGTTTGTGAACAGGTTCCTAAAGTCTCCCCTGCCCCAGGCATACTTGTAGGGCCCACCACCTACCATTTTAGCGTGCTGGGTTGGGGACCTTTCCTCCAACCTCCAAATAAGAACAGCGCTACATCCTTGTATGTTGCCTGTAATGGATTTAGGCCCTTGTTGGAAGCAATGAGCAGAAATTCTACTTCATGGGCCAAAAAAGCTAGTAGCATTAAAGTTGTGAGCGAGTCTACATTTAACTATTGCATAAATACGTTTTTTAGAAGATTAGTTCCATAATCTTGTAAAAATCTCAGAATAAATTCTTTTAAATTATATTTAAACTATATTTTAAGAATAATTTAAACATTATAAGAGAAAACAGAATCAAGTCAAATTTCACCCACCCCTTTCCACTGTATTGGTAGACCTGGCCTCCAGAGAACAAGTCTACCCGCCCCAGTCCACTAGATTGGTAGATCTGGCCTTGGACCATCACCCTGCGCTCAACCCGCCTAACCTAACAAACAAGAAGTTGCTTAAATGCCCAAACTACTTATTTATTCAAATATTTATATCCCATTTTTCCATATGACTCAAGGCAGCTTACAAATCAAACTGAAAAGCATAACAGAGGAGAGCAAAAAAAAAAAAGACAATTTCTCCAGCTCCATTGTAGCCTATGGGGACTAGTATAGTCAATAAAACCCATAGGCTATAATGGTGAATGGATCTGGGACGGGGGGCCTGTTCTTTGAGGTACATGCACCAAATTTGCAACATAGCTGCTGGTGCCTCTCCTCAAAAGTCTCCCCAAGTTTTAAAAAGATTGGACCAGGGGGTTCAATTTTATGGGCCACAGAAGGAGGTGCCCCCATCTTCCATTGTTTCCAATGGAGAAAATGCCTTGTGAGCAGAGAGCAGAAATTCCTGAGCAGCCTGTTAAAATGTGTGCAAGCACACCTCTAAACACAGCTTAGAGAAAACTATTGTCAGAAGCCCATCCAGTAAAGGTTATCCATGTGTGATTATAGATCCGTCTAGTCAGTCTCCTTGACTGCAGCATTACCTCCACACTGTCTCTGGGAAAACCCTGAGTCTCTAAATCCACCCTTTCAATCTCCACACAGTCAGTTGTAACCAAACTGGGTCTGGATAGAGAATGGGGCCTTGGTGGAGAAGGTTCAGTCTGAGTGGTAGTTTCCATGGTCTCGTGGATGACAACTGTACCAGGTATGAGAACCACAGTCTCCTCAGCCAGTGTGGGGCCACGAATACCACATCTGCCCTTTCTTGTCTAATCCTGTTGAGTAGCCTGCCAATCAGGACTGGTGGTGGAAAGGCATACAGTAGCCTCTCCGGCCAAAGGTGTGTCAGCACATCCACTCCTTCCACTGGCAGCTTGTGGAATCTGGACAAGAACTTCTCTACTTAATGGTTGTTGGAGTTTGCTTGGAAGTCCATCACTGGCTTTCCAATTTTTTTCAAAATCTGGTCAAAGCCTCTCTGTTTAGGACCCATTCCCCGGGGTCCAGATCCTCCATGCTCAGCCACTCCGCCTGGAAATTGGACTGGCCTTTGAGTTGTTCTGCCTTTATGCTTTCGACATTCCTTTCCACCCACTGAAACAGACATTGAGCCTGCAGGAAAAGGGGCTTTGATCTGGTGCCCCCTGCCGATTTATGTCTGCCTTCATTGACATGTTGTCAGTGTGCATGAGGATGTGGCGATTTTGTATTAGTTGGCTGAAGGCCGCCAATGCCAGTCTGACCACCCTTAGTTCCAGCCAGTTGATGCTGTTTGTGGCTTCTGCCATGGACCCTTTTCCTTGTGCTACCTGTTGTTCACAATGCGCTCCCCAGCCTCTCTTGCTCACGTCTGTTGTCACCACTATCTGTTGTACTTGAAGGAAACTGATTCCCTTGCTCAGGTTCATCAGAGTTATCCTACCATGTCAACTCCTTCCTGAGATCGTCCATGACCTCAACCAGCCTGTGCTTCTGCCAGGAGATGTCTTTCTGGAAGGGGAGCAGTGTCCACTGTAAGACCCTGGCATGGAACCTTTCCCATGGCACCATGTCTATAGAAGAAATCATAAGTCTTTGTAAATGCTGCCAGGTGTATCAGGTCTGATTTTTTTCCAGGCCCTGGTTTCACTCACCAAGTCCCATATTTTCAACTGTTTCTCCTCTAGCAGATAAACTGTGGCCTGACTTGTGCACAGTCTGGCTCCCAGGTGTACTAGATCCTGTGTTGGGTCCACATGGCTCTTCTCCTCATTGATGAGGAATCCATGCTCGCACAGAAAGGCTGCTGCCCTCCGAG